GCACTAAAATATCTTCTTTATGATCAAAGAGAGTTTCATTATATTTATCACCCATATTAATGCTTTAGGTATGGGCAATAATTTATATCTTGTCTACTTTGATTTACGTAGTTTCTGGGCTGCATGATTGTCAGTTGAACGTGCCTGACCTTGAGTGCCAAGAATAAATGATCTGAACATGAGAATCGCAAACTGTATCAAGTATGACAACGCAATGATTTCTAATAAGAATGATTCAAGAATTATCCCAAATTATTTCCGTCAACCCTTGCCATAATAATGATGGAAAAAGTGCGATACGTAATGGAGCACAACATAGAAAATGACTTCATAACGAAGTTGGTGGGTTTGACGCCGAAGAAACTCAAAAAAGTCCTAAAAAACAAAAACAGACTAATCGAATACTAGTGTACACAAACTTTACATCTTGCTTATTATCAATGTTAATTTGTTGTTAATAAAAACTGTTCCATTCTCTTTAGTTAGCTTTTAACTCATCATGGTCTAGGTCAACCACGACTGACGAAATGGGAGTATCCGCTACGTTTTGAACTATTCCATCTGCTGAGTATAAAAGATTCAGGAAAATCACGGATATAAAGACTCTCCAAGACTTGTTTATCATTAGTTTTGAAAAACATTTTCTTCAGTATAAATGCTGTTGCCCATACGAACCGAAAAGTGTTTCACAGGGACTTGTTGCTTCAGTTTCGATTCGACCTGTACATAATAATGGTTTGAAAGACAAATCAGTGTCAACCGTGTGTCTTAGATGTTTTTCATCGACCACGTTCTTGTTAAAAAAAAGATTTATTGAATAGACTCATATATCGAATGACTTTAACATGAAAACATTATCTGGTTACACCCCAGAGTGATGCCCTCTCAGCGATTTTCAATATTTTTATTTTCTTCCTGGAGGGAAATTCGGCGCAGGTTACCCGCCGGTACCCCATAGAGTGAAATTTATGCATACAAAAATCTACTAACCATAAGTAGTATAACGAATAGCATAACCAGGCAACACGCGTATATGGAACAAAAATAATATTTACTCAATAATAAATGAGTAGTCTCAAGGATTTACACATGTAAACTTGTGTACTATGTCCTAAATAAGTTTCAGTGTCGTTTGGAAAAGTTTGTGCGCAGAAATCAAATCACATCCTGAACTGGACCTCGTCCTCATGTTCCCAAATGAAATGGCCGCCGGTCGCGTGACAGGTTCATCCATAATGACATAAATAATCAGCTCCATTAATGTGGACAACGGCAACTGAGATTTATCAAAGAAAGTACCCGATCAAAGTGATAATCGGCGTTTACAGGTAGTACAACAGAGAACAAACCTGTCACGGCTGCGGGCAAACTCTTGAAGCTTCATTATACGTCCGCATGAACATGTTCGTTGTTCTGGTAATAATCCACGATTTTGCATATATTCCATGCAAGCTTCTCCTTGGAATTCATGAAGAATACGATACTTGTTAGATCCAGATATGGTCAAGGTCAACGTCAATTAAAACAAACAATAGGAAAATATACTTCCATATCTTGAACAAATAAAAGAACACATTTACAAAAAATTTAAAAAAATTAGGATTTATTTAAAAGTTATACACAATCTAAAGACGTCCCAGATTGGTCAAACGACATGGGGTGCCCGGGGTTAACCTGCGCCGGAAATTCAAAGGAACAACTGATTGCACAGCTTCTCCCCTGATCTCCAGTTTCCTAACTATAGAAACATTTGTTAAACTTTGCGCCTCATCATGTAGTCGGGAGAACTGTTTACTTGTTTCTTTCGCTTTACCATGCATCGGTTTAGCCTGTCACATTGTTCTTCTGTTCGTGCTCGACGCTCATGAGCACCGCGTGCAAAAATTGGCACTGAGCAGACGTCGCAACACCTGTCCCAACCATCCTAAGCGATGCTCTGAGATGATGGTTTGAGGGAAGAACTTCCACGATCCTTCACTCGTTTGGTTGATCATCCCTCACACGTTTTTAAAATAACACGAATACAGTAATTAGCTGACACTCGCAACCAATGAGCTTCTTTACCACTGTTATAGTCTCGAATACAGTTGACTGATAGGTGATCTGCTGAAATGGTTGTAACATGTCATAATGACCAAATAAGATAAGAAGTACGAGGAGTAGCAATGACACAACTTCAAGTGATATTCCGTTTGGTGTTGTGGATAACTTTATACCGGATAACACTCCGCGGGGGTCTAACAGAGAAAGCCAGTTGAAGGGTTTTGGACTGACTAATTAGAAAGGAACGTGACGTGCGTCACAGGCATTTGTGTCCTGGGGCACAGTCTGGCACGTTACTAGTTCAATCGATCGCTTTTCCGTCAACTGGAAGATGTCTACCAGTTCAGTTGTAGACTATTACCGTCATCTCCGTTTGACGTTCAAACATACTCACACGTGACCCAATCTTATTGGTCACCATATTGTAGGTCCGGTGTGACGATTTTCATTTGCGTGTATGTAATCAGAGTGATCAGAGCTATGCATCCGGAAGAGTTATCCAACCAATGAATATGCAGCCACAAAACATGGAATCACTATCAATGCTTTTCCCATTTTGCAGCTGTTGTTTGGTGTTTTGATATGAACCATTAACTCGATTCATTTAAACCCTTTCGGGTTCTCGTCTGGATTCGTTTTGGACCAGAGTGTCAAAAAATACTTTTACAGTCAACCGCTTACTCCGCGTCTATGGGAAAGGATGTTTTTTTGGGGTAAATACCGTCAGTTGATCTTTTTACTTTCTACCAGAAGTTTTTCATTCGATAATCATCATCTCTGAACCTCACTAGTATGCTTCTGGTTAACATTTGCGATTTTTACTTTACCATCATGATATCAGCTGAGCTGCCGTATAACACGAGACCTTGGGTCATGTTAGAAAGATTCCTAAATGGTTTTCTCTACCGACATCGCTGTGTTATTAACACTATAACGTTCACAATAAAACAACACATGGCGCATCAATTTTCCGATACACTCCAAGCATCATTTGGTTTTCACTTCAAACTGTAGGGCTTGAATCGCCAGTCGCAGTAAACATACAATTATGACTATGGGGGTTTACCTTTCCTGCCGCTCATCTCACAATATCTATACTTTTACTTCACTCTCTCCTGCTGGAGAAGTCGAATCAATAAATGAATACTTTCCTTTGAATTCCATGATAATTGGATAAGGAGCGATTTGCAGCATTGTTCGGGCTGTTTTTCTACTCGATCGCGCAGTCCGGAGTGCGACACCTGTTCCTATTTGTTGGACAATGAATTTTGAGCCGTTATCAATCCGAGCGCAGCCTGCAAAATAGCAGGGTAATATGCTACAATTGTCCGTTCACTCTTTTCGGAAAACGATGTCCCGTAGTTGTAACATGACAGAGACAGTAGCCTTATTTAGTGACGTGCTGCAACCACCACGCACCTGTGAAGTTTACAGAATTTGCACGGTGTTTTGTAGTGAGGCACACAATCCAAGCAAATTCCTCGCGCGCAATCTAGATAAGAGGCCATTTGTTCACAGCCGCTTATTAATAAGCGTAAAGTTATTTTATTCTGACGGTTAACCACCGGATCTGTGACTCAACTCATCTTTACGTGACCTGGGAACAATACCGGTAGTACATAGAATACAAATTATGAAGTAAGTGTAAAATCAACTCCCTTCATTATAAGTGACGACACCTAATCCTCGATAGTGCCTTATTGAATAGTTGAAAATCTGGTGATGTGGGGCTAACCGGAGGCGTCGCATCCGGACAATAATGGATCTTAGTTTCATTAACCAGGCAACTTCATGCGTCAGTTTTGGTTGCTGTCTTTTGGATGTCCATCTGCATGAAGCAATAGGAGGAATACAAGAAAGTTGAGAGTAGAGTCAAAGAGAAAGTGGAGAAGAGGCGCAAACTCTACTGTTTACGACACAACCATATCACTCAGTGCCTCTAAGCAGCAGTTACAATCATCCTGAGGTCGTCGACCGGAGACCTATATGCGACCTATATGACCGATTTTCGTGTTTATCGTTCGCATCACCCTGATTCCAGGGTGACTTTAACCACTTTTGGCTTTTTCCACCCACTAACTGTCTCAGAAGACATAGCGAGCCGTGACAACCTACTTGGTGACTTGCGTAACATATACCCCAACCAGCGTAATCTATGGAGGTCGATTACTTGCTCCGGTAGGAACCCGCGGTTCCCTAAAACTCTGCGCCTAACTTCAGCTATACTAATCCAGTTTCCCCACCAGATTCCTGCAATGCTGCATAGACACCAGCGGTGTTCAACCACTACCAGTCTATCTTTATCTTGTTTTCCTTATGACCAAGTTTCCGCGCCGTTTAGCAAAACTGGCTGAACTACCGCAGCATACACTCGATGCCTCACGGACAGGCAGATGTCCCGACGGTGCCACAGATGTCTCAAGTTGGTAAATGCCATTCAGGGCTTCTGTTGACACTTCATTCATGATGCGACCACCGGCTCTCCTTGGGTAGAAATATCTCCAAACGGTGCTATTTACTTGCATTTTATATGGTATTTTTGTTCGTCACTAGTGTGATTCTTCTCTTAACCCTAAAAGCATGTTCAGGTTTTACTTGTAGTCGGGACGAAGGAGTGGTTATGCGCGATTAGGTTTCAATCCCCCTTAAGCAGATCCTCTCAGGTGTAATGGTTTGCTTGTCTTTGATCCTACCTTTCCTGTCTGTAAATCCAAATTGTCAGCCAAAAGACAGCAACCAAAACCGGCGCACGATGGAGTATGGTTAATGGTTGTACAAACCGAACTGAACTGTTTGTATGTATTTAGGCTGTATTTAAAATGTAACCTTTCGGTATTGTGATCCATTTCAACACGCGGTATCTAAATCTTTGTCACACACGAACAGTTTCACATTATACTGTGGCCGACAATTACACAAAACCCTGGACTTACACGGGGTTTGTTACTCCCACGGGAATGGGAGATCAGTCAACCGGAAACAATCCACCAGACACGGACATGCAAGTTGTGATCCCGAATCCCATTCATCTGATCCCATCTCCACACAACCCTTCCGTTTCTCATTCAACCACGAATCCGGCCCATCCCGTTCTGGGCTACTCTGCTCATACGCCCACCCTACCNCCCCCCTCACAGGCGGTCACAACTCCACCGAACCAGGCTATAGTTCCGTCAAACGCACGACCAAACACACGTACTGCGAGTGAACTGGGATCGTTCATCACCACCGCTTTGTGCGCTTGTGAACAGGACAGTTCGTTTGATCTACCGGAACTGCAGGATGCATTGGTACGATTTTTCGAAGAAGGTGAAGTATCCGATGAAGTGGACAACTATTTTACTAAAGTAAGTACATGTAGGGTTTTTTATCCCTAGGGTAAACACGGTTGTTTATTGTTTTCTTGTTTCAAACTGAGGTTCTGGCACAAAATCGAGTTATTATTAATATTGCTGTTTTCAATATTATCATATTCCACACCGCTCTGATTTCAGAAACGTTAATAAGTAAACATCAGCTCAAGATTTATTTATGGGTGAAGCACATGATTTTCCCATGGGTTAACAACGGGTATATTTGGCTACCCAAAGCCTGACGCATAGAGCAGAGGAGTGGTGCGGTACTATATGGTCCGGCCTGAGAGATTTGACGCCTTTAAGAAATTCGCAACGTGTCCCTCGTACTTTATTTCCGTATTCAATTTTGAGCAACAGAAAGCCTGGTATTCTGGAATAAGCGGGG